TCCACGCCAGTAGTTTGTCGTTGATATACCTTACTGTCCATCCAATCACACTTGCTACAAAATCCTCGAGTCCATATGATGCACAGTATACAGCGAGTCGTCCACTGAAAGAAATTAATGCTGCTATCCTTCCCCATGATATACCTACAACAAAAACAGATAATAAATATTGAGCTCAAAGAGTACTCCAATGAACAGGAATCTTTTTCAATTATGATTGAGTTACCATTGAGCACATATTATTAGTTGCATAAAACTTGTTTGGTTTAATTTTCGATAACATTTATGTGCTGTTAGTTGGAGACTTTATAATTCCAGGTAGTTTTAAATTAATGTTATTTTAAATTATCATTTCAGATTTCTGAAATTAAATTAAAAGTTAATTTTCCATTGCACCATAAAATACTGTGAACCACGCTACATCTCACCTCCCTCAGGACAGCCTGTATCCCGGAACAGCTCGTCACATAGATCTCGGAATTTTGCGTAAGCTGTAGTCGGTCTCAGATCAAGCTGCTCACAGCAATTAGCAAAGAACTGGGGATTATTGGCTTCAATTTCTTGACCTGTGACAGAAAATGTGTTGTTAATTTGAAATTTGACCCGTACATAGTAGGATGAATTGTGTGGTCAAATATATGGCCAATATACTAGTACATTACTTTATAAACAAACAAACAAATAAACAAACACTGTAAGAATATAAAATAAATCTTAGACAAATGTTAAATATTATAAGTTTAATTTTTGTGTTCTGTTAAAATATCATTGAAATATATATTAGTTATCAACATACCGACTCTACGGACTCTTGCAGCTACCTCACAAAATGGCTGTCTACTGACGTGATGATAAGCTGCCAGTTCAATATTATTAAGTCTCAACCTGTGAACACAGTAGTCTTCTATATACCGCTGGGTTTCCTGAGCCGCTACAGACTCAGACATCTGAAACGATAAACAAACAGGATATCAGAACAGATACAAAACAAGATTTAATACATAGAGTTGAGATTTTAGCGGCTGATGCACAGACTAACAGACAATAGATGTATAAGGTAAAACCACAGATCACAACTTTACAGGATTTTGTAAACTTGTTTTGATATAGCAGTATTAACGAATAATACATACTTCATTACAGATGAAGGAAATAATCAGGTGATTGTATGTAATCAATATGGGAAGTTTATAACTGGTTTCGGTGAAAAGGAATTACAACATCTATGTGGAATCGCTATCAACCCTAATAATGCTATTATATATGTGGTTGATAATGAGGCATAATGTACAAGGTTGTACCAATTACAAGTTACGGATACATTCCGCCGGTTGGTAGTGAGGACCAAGAAGTATTAGTCGAGTTTGAATATCCACGATTT